TCCAGAGGAGGGACAGTGATTTGGACATGTCCAGAGGAGGGACAGTGGATATATTGGTAGAAGGATGTTAGAAAAAGACAAAGAGGAGACATATGGATGCAGTTAGAGGACATGGAGGTAGTTGGAGTGAGGACACAGAGGACAGAGGGAGATGGAGGACAGAGGACACAGAGGACACAGAGGACTCGCTGTGGTGACCCCTGAAGAGGGAACACCTGAAAGAAAAAGTTAAGCAAAAACAATTAACTTTATTCTGACGTGTTATTTATGAAGGTGTTTCCCACGGATCATAACAAAAAGTACAACATCCTGTTTTTAATGTTAGAATCAGCCTGCGGGGACAAAAAGATGTATTTGACCAGTTTTATTATTAAAATACATAAAGTGTAAGCTGCATATTTATTGACACATTTTGAACGTGGCTCTTAAAGTGAAAGTTGAGCCAGAGCTCCTGCTCCACTCGAACTTCAGTAAAATGAACTTAGACTTGTCAACAACTTGGATTTGACATTTAAAGCTACAAGTTTAAGGTGAAACAGCTGATTCAGTTCGTTCTTAGAGTCAGAGCAGCTTGAAGCGTCTGGAAACATCACAACATGTCGGTCTGAGGGAAATGATTTCTGGAGTGTTTGGAAACAGCGCAGCTGTAAATCTCGTATTTGAATCCGTCAATGAGCTTGAAGCTGCTACGACACAACAACAAGTGTTCAACTGTCGGATCAGCTGCCGCAGAAATCACAGATTTACACTCGAACCAGGACAAACTCCTGAAAATGCTGCTTTAATAAGAAGACTTCCTTTGGCAACAAACAAATAAAAAAACCAGTGAAGACGCACAATAAAAACCTTTTAAAGGCTGAACATCAGTATTTTACAAAACAAGTATAGAAAAGAGTTGTAACAGGGCAGTTGAAGAAATATATACATTAGTTGACTATATTTTAACTATAAAAAGACTCCACATAACAACAGAGTTCAGAAAAGACTTCTTGTTGAAAACTTTCTAAATTCAGCCAACACTGTATGATATGCATTAGATTTAAAAAAAACTAAAAACACAAAGACTTCCTAAAATCTTGAAGCTGCATAAAAATGCTCACAAACAAATGACAGAAGTTGCACCGACAACTCTTCTCAGAGCTCAACGCTGTGCACAACAAACTCGTCTACTTCGTTTGGGTATTGCTTCACAGAACGTGGACCTCTCTCACAAACTTCACTCCTGAAGGAACAAATAATTAAAAACGTAAATATTTCTAACAGACCAACAGAACCTTGAAATGAGTTTTGGTCAGAACCAGTGTAACCAGTTGTAAACCAGGAGAGACTGCACGGCACCTTTTGGTTTGCTCTTGGACGCCAACAGGAGCAACAACATGGACTGGACACAGAGATGATGTGAAAAGGAGCAGTACCTGTGTCATCCTTTGTGACATGCTTCTTCTAGCACTGGTCCACCACTCAACGTCAAACTGCAAACGTTTGAGTTTTGGGATGTAAAAACAATGAAAGTGTGTGACACGACACAAACACAATGTTGGCTCAAGTGGATCTGGTTCAATCTGTCCGACGATGTTATCTAAGATCTTTGGAGGATTTGGGGACTTTGAGAACTTTGTAAATGTCATTGGAGAAGACTGTGGTGAAGTACGGGCGTGAGTTCCTGGACATGTGGGTGCAGAAGGGAATTCTACCAACATTTTCCGGGTCCTCGATGTCCCAGATCTCTGGCATGCTGCACCCAGGCCTGAACAGCAGAGAGGAGTGAAAAAGCAACAGTAAAAGAAAAATATCTGCACATTCTGTTTCCTTATGAGAAGGCATGAGAGGTGGAGGTCACCTGGTTCGCCTGGTGCACCAAGAGTCCTCCAGGATGAAGAAGTCCACCCCCAGCTTCATCAGGTTCCTCTGCACAGCTTCTCCAGACATGCGGCTGTACATGGAGTACACCAGCTTGGTTCTCTCCCTGTGAACAATGACATCATCAGCCAACACACCTACAGCAGGTGGGTTTTAAATAGTGACCTAACGTTTGCTACGTTTCATAAAAACAAAGAGTCGACCAAACATTTAATTTGGACATTTGATTGACACGAACGTGACGGTTATCTGCCTCCTTGTCTGTGCTTTGAGCCTCATCACCACTCTGAGTCTTTGAGAACAAACTACCGTCATTTACAGAATGGTTAGCACTCAAATATAAGCCGAGCTCACTAAATTAAATATATATATATAGTATATACAGTAGTCCCTCGCTACGTTGTGGTTCGTTTATCTTGGACTCGCTCTATCGCGGTTTTTCAAAACAAGATTGGACGTGAGACAATTGGTTGATTGATGGATGAGCCACAGGATCGGCATGGAATTTGTATTTAAAATAAATTATTTAAAATGATTTAGCCCCTGCTGCACATTTGTGGATACTGCAGGATAAACTTCCTGCTGCAGCTGATCAGCTGTTCTACGAGCAGAGAAGAGAAGTGGGCGTGGCCAAGCGCGCTGGCAGGAGGCAGAGCTGAAATCATGACATGCTGTCTCTTTTAGAGCTTAGAAACATTGTTTAGAATATTGAACAAGTGTGGGAAGGGTTTAAAATGCCTTTATATATATATATATAATAAAATAAACTACTACTTGTACTACTATTCCTACTTAGTGGTTTTTCACTTATCATGGGTCTTCAGGGTACAGATCCCCCACAACAAACGAGGGACTACAGGAGTCTCATTGAGCCCTGAGGAGCCACCTCCCAAGAGAGACAAGTATTGCTGCTACACCCCCACATCACCCCCCACCCCCGTCTGATCGCTCACCCTGCCTCTCACGCTCTGTACGCAGCTCAGCCATTCATGACAGGGATGGTGCTCCTGTTCCGACCCGGACACTAAAACTGGAACTGACCCGAGTGGACTGCAGATGTGACGTGGTGAGAGGATGCTGAGAGTTTGTGTTCTGGTTTCTGTGCTCTGAACAGACGTCATGTTCAATAAATAGAGTTCTTGTTTCATTCTGGTGTAGTTCTTCTTCTTCTCCTGGAACATCTTAAAAAGATCTGAAGCTCTCCACCTTGACCTCTCGGAGTGACTTCAAACATCTGCTCAGTTCATGGTAAACCATCTCAGACACGTTCCTGTTTGTAGTTTTCTACATCACTTTATAATGTAGCTGTTTGTGCAGTATGTTTGACATCACTTCTTTTATTTTCATTTTATATGTTTTTTATATGATTGTTGTCTCTGCACCTCGTCTGTGTCTTTGTTACAACAGGTCTCTCTTGTAACGAGTCCTCGAGGCTCAATGAGACTCACCTGGAGAAATAAAGGATGAATGGATGAATGGATGAATGTATTGGGCAGCTCTGTGTGATGAGGCTAAATGTTCTGGCGACACGAAGCTCGTTAGCCCGTCAAAATAAATAAATAAAATCGATAAATCCATAAATTAGCCACAGCACTGTATAGGCCACGCTGTTCAAAGCGTGTGAAAAAGTATCAGCTTATGTTAATACAGACCAACTGACCTGAGACCAGCGTCTTCATAGTGGGGGTGGTTGACGACTGGTCGACCAGTAGAGAGCTTCACGCTGGCCATGGTGGGCATGGCTCCCGCAAACACGGAGGCTGCACCAACCCAAACAAGAACCACAAGAAGAAACATGACTGTTGAGTAGATCTATTTACACTAGATCTATAACTGTTTAACACAATGAATCACAAACTACAGAAAATACTTGAATGCGCAGCAGAAAACTACAAGTCAACGTTAAAGGTTCAGTGTTGCTGTGAAAGCTTCAAACGTCTCTGACCTGTGCGAGTGTTTCCCTGGATCCAGTCCAGCAGCTCCTCCTGCGGCACATTACTGAACTCTCCGATGATGGCCCACTGCGCCTGCAGGTTGGCCACGCCCTGCACGGCCATCATGGCCATGACTGCAACAACGACAGCCTGCTGCTTGGACTTCTCACCGTTCCACCCGAACAGCTGGAAACATGGAGGGAGAACGCTCCGTCAGTTAATACACAGCATCTGCGCACGCAAATCAGGAGATTAAAAATGAAAACGTAAAAAACAGATGATCTGAGCTGCGAGGAGGACAGACCTGCTTGGAGCAGATCAGTGAGGCCATGATGCACATGTGGGGTGTCAGGAAGAGCTTCAGGCGCATGATCAGGACGGCCAGGACGGCGAACGCTACCAGCTGCAAGCTGTGGTAAACCAGCTGCACAACAACAAACAGCTGGATGACACAGACACTTTTCATTTTCAGAGGACATCACCATGAACTACACTATACACATATATATATAAATATATATATATATATATATTTATATATGTATCTACTATAACTACATCATGGAACAGCACAGTTGATTGTTTTCTATGAAACTTCCTGCCTCACACAGAAACAGGAGAAATTACCTCCATGTTGACACCAACATCAGTTTCATTTGAAGCTTTTAAATCCATCTGGATCATGTCAAAACTATAAGACACGTGTCAAACTCAAGGCCCGGGGGCCAAATGTGGCCCTCACTGACACATTATGAGGCCCCAAGACGATACGTGAGACGTAAAATACTTTTATCCCTTGAATTATTTCAGTAATCTTAGATATTGATGTCAAAAGCACAAGAGAGAACATCAAATGAGACCAATCAAACAGAACAGATTTTAAGAGTCTCCTGTTGACCTTTAAGGGCCTAAATGACCTTGAACCCTCATGTCTCTGACCTACTTGAACCAGATGTTCCTTCTCTGGCTCTGAGATCAGCTGATTTTGGTTGAAGCTCAGAGGAGATCGGCCTTTTTCATTCGTGACCCTAAACTCTGGAACAGTTTGACCCCCCCCACCAGATTAGACAGACCCATTCACTTCCTGTTTTTAAACCTCTTTAAACAAACACACCTGTTTTCACTGAAGTTTAACACATTTTTCTTTAAAGGCTGCCTTTGATCTGAAACAGCTGCTGATGTAAATGTGCTTTATAAATAAATTGGAGTGGACTTAATGACACGGAGGAGGAGGAGGACCAACACAGGAGCTGAGCACACTTCACTGAACAAGAGAAACCAACTGAAACCATGAACAGAACATTGTAGACCCCCCCCCCCCCCCACAAAGATCAACGTGAACAGATCTAAAAGATGATTATATGTGTGCAGATTTAAACATCATGAAGGATGTGAAACTTGTTCTTCTCACCTCTCCTTTCTCAGCCGTGTCAGAGCTGCAACACAGACAGGACAGCATCAACTCGTTTGTCCTCTCCAGACATTCACGTACTCCTAATTAATATTTAACTTCTTAAAGGTAAAAACCACCTCCTCCTCGCCTTTTAAATGTTCCCAACACGGTGTCTATTGGACCAGAACAAGAAAGAATAAAAATGAGGGTCAGTGAGGAGCCTCACCCTGCAGCTTCATCATCATCATCTTCAGTCTTTGCAGACGTCTTTGCTTCGTGTCTCAGACGCCGCAGAACATCCCGAACAGTCTGCAGACGACACACAGTAAATGCACCAAATGCCATTTTTAAATCTCGTGGTTTTAGCTCCAAACAGCAGATATTTTAGTCAGAAACTGCCCGCAGGCTGCAGATCCACTGAGCTTTACTGGATCAATCGCTGCATCCTAAGCTTAGCGTGGGTACGGCATCATAAGATTAAAGTGTATAAAGCGGCTCCTTGAATATTTCCCTCGTGTTTCATGGCTCCTTTTTAATACAAAATCAGGCAGAACATTCTCTTTCTTTTATTTTAATGGTTTAGAAAAACAAATCCTGAGCAGAGCAAACAAAACTTATGCAAATGTAATGAAAGTAAAGGAGCGGGGTTGTGTGCGCCGGGCGCTCAGAGGATAAAACGCTACGATCATCAGCTGTCTGCTGCTGAAGAAAGGCTGCGGCTCAAGTCCCAAAAATGATTTCATCTTCCTGTTCGACAGCCGGCTCTTCTGGAACAAGGCGGCGTCTTTCAAGATTTCTTTTTAATGCTACACAAAAACAAATTACAAAGAGCAAGAATCAAATATAAATCTTGTTATATTTCCAACGTCCACACTGAAGAGTTGAGGCTTTACAAGGGAGAGTTCGTCTCAGGTCATAGCTGGATCTTTGCAGAACAAGTCGAACATACTGGTCTCTACTGGTGTGGTGTGAAGAACAGATCTGCAGTGTGAACTCCAAGCTTTGATCCAAACAACGGAGGTTCAAGACACAGACTGATCGAGCAGATATCAAAGTATTACAATGACTAAATGCTGTTATTTTATTGTTTGTCATGTTTTGGCTCAGCAACAGGTTTAAAGGCTGGAACAGGAGCACCTCATGAAAAAACTGCAACTGATCTATTTTATTGTAAGATGTATTAGATGTCATTACAGAGGATTATAAGGAACGTCAAAAGTGCCAGTTTGTCCAGACACTTGGAGTGAAAACAATAAAACCTGTTTCTTTTACAGCAGAAACTTCTTCAGTGTTCCACATATGTGGTGCGTTTGAATCAGCAGGACTCACCACGCCAGCAACAACAGCGACCACCAGCAGGGTGACTGGGAGCAGCAGCGTTTTAAGGTAACGAACAGGCGTCTGAGGAAGAGACAGAACGAGATGAAGAGAGAGAACGAGATGAAGAGAGAGAACGAGATCAAGAGAGAGAACGAGATGAAGAGAGAGAACGAGATGAAGAGAGAGAACAAGATGAAGAGAGAGAACGAGATCAAAAGAGAGAACGAGATCAAGAGAGAGAACGAGATGAAGAGAGAGAACGAGATGAAGAGAGAACGAGATGAAGAGAGAGAACGAGATCAAGAGAGAGAACGAGATCAAGAGAGAGAACGAGATCAAGAGAGAACGAGATCAAGAGAGAGAACGAGATCAAGAGAGAACGAGATGAAGAGAGAGAACGAGATGAAGAGAGAGAACGAGATCAAGAGAGAGAACAAGATGAAGAGAGAACAAGATGAAGAGAGAGAGATGAAGAGAGAAACAGAACGAGATCAAGAGAGAGAACGAGATGAAGAGAGAAAACGAGATCAAGAGAGAGAACGAGATGAAGAGAGAGAACGCGATGAAGAGAGAGAACGAGATGAAGAGAGAGACGCATTATTCCACCAGTTCAAGATTAAAGTAATAAAAATACAAACTGACAAATGGGACCAAATAAAAGCAAAAAGCTTTTGAAATGTGTAACAATTACCTAAAAAAGTACATAAAATAATTAAAAAAAAAAGTTTTTAAAGTTATAATGAATAAAAACTTTTAAAAAAATGGAAGAAACTAAATATTTGGTCATCTGCTTTTATTATAAGCAGAATTCTAAACTCAACAGGTTTTCTGCTGGAGGTTCACAATAAAGAAGCGCACACACACACGCGCACGCACACACACGCGCACGCACACACACACACACACCAAGATGTGCGTTCGCTCTGACGAAGAAACTTCTTGTTTAGATTCATCTTTACCTGGAACTCCATGAAGTCAAACTCAGCCGCGCACGTGTACATCAGCGTGTGAAAGTCGTTATAATTTGTAAACTTGGACTTGATCAATCCACTGATGTGAGCCTGGAAAAAACAATTTGTTCCAATTAGAACCAGAACACAACTTGAATATGTCGCAGTGCATCGTGTTGACGACGTTCTTTGATCGTTTTCAAGCAGTTCAGTTGAAACTCTGCTCTTCAGCATCACTTACACACGAGCTGCTGAGTGAACATTATTGTATAAATGAAAGGACGAATACCAGTTTTCTTTTTTAGTTACCTGACATGTCAACATTTAGACATGAAAACTTACTTCCTGCTCGAGTTTGATGGAACAAATCCTATAGAAACGCTTGTTTTCACCATGAAATGTTGAATATCTTACGTCATCAGAGGCACCAAAGACTGTAGACAGCACACATTTGAGCACAACTGTGGAGCTGACCCAGGCCACGCCCTGCATTACCTGTTGAGGAGGACACAGGTAAGTCACGCTGTCATCACAGCCTGTCAGCACCACAGGTCGGTCACGTGACCGACTACAATCAAGGGCAGAACAAGATTTATATGGAATATTCACTTCTCACAGTTTGAGCATGAATACAACCAAAACAAATGTTTTATTTTAAGAACATGCAAAAAGTGATACAATTACACAAAAAGCTGCTGAGGCGAGTAACGGAGCGGAACAGAACGCCTGCTCGTCAGGACTTTAGGAACATTTTAATGTGTTGAAGCAGATAGTTGTTCTCATGCAGCTGAATGTTGCGTTACATATGACCCCCCCCCTAAAAACTGTGAAAATTATGTATGCATGGATAAAATGATTTCCTGGTTATTTAGGTTGTCAGGCAGCACGGTGGCTCAGTTGGTAGAGCTGCTGCCTCTCAGTGAGAAGGTTGTCGGTTCAAATCCCAGTCTGGGGGTCTTTCTGGGTGGAGTTTGCATGTTCTCTCCGTGCTGCGTAGGTTTTCTCCAGGTACTCCGGTTTCCTCCCACAGACTAAAAACATGCATGATAGGCTGACTGGTAACTCTAAATTGTCCACCAGTGACCTCTGCCCCGAAAAGGAAGAAAGGGAGGAAAAAATAATGATGGATGATTTAGGTTTTCTATCCATCTCTCTCTCTCTCTCTCTCTCAACATGAAAAAGGTTATGATGAACTAATGATGAGATGAAACATGAAACAGGTTGTGATGAACTAATGATGAGATGAAACAGGTTATGATGAACTAATGATGAGATGAAACATGAAACAG